TTTTTTTGTATCGTGAAAATTTTTAGGAATCGTGTTTTCACACCGTTAGTAATCAGTTTATATCCTCAATTTGACTATATATTTTATTATTCCAAAGTGCTTGGTTCAATACTTTCACTATTATGCGGAATTAACCAAAGCTATTTCACGTAGTATAGACTCTAAAGAGTAGCTTCAAAGTAAGCATCGTAACAAAATATTGTTAAACAAGAAGAATACATAACACGTCGCTTATTTTGCGGAAACCGCAGTGAATAGCTACGCTACAATGCGGTTTGGACAAAATTACTATTATAGGTTATTATTATACAAGCGTTACATCATGTCATTAAGTATTTGTTATGTATATTTGCATGCGCACATGTTAAAACACATATTAAAGTAAAGATTTTGGAGCATAATAAATAAAAAGTCAGGCTAAACAACATGATAGAGATATAGTTCTAGAATTAGACGGCAAACTTACAAAAATCTAAGGATGAGGTAGCCCAAGCTTTTGAATCGTTCTTTTTGGAAATCGCCGTGAACACTACAAAATCATTAAATTTCTCTCCTTTTCTGGCTATTGATCTCGTGGCAGTGTATTTAATTTTCATCATATTAATCCACAAGACATCATCAAAGCTTTTAAATCCATACAAGTTAAAAAAACTGAAAATATCTGGGGCATATCGACTAAAGTTATAGACTCAGTAATATATCTAATTTCCCCACATTTAGCTGATGCGTTCAATAGGTGCGTTGACGAAGGTATTTTTCCCGATTTGATGAAATACAGCACGGTTATTCCTTTATTCAAAAGCGGTAGGAAAGTTGATCCTAGCAACTATAGACCTATTTCAATTCTACCAGCTTTAAATAATATTTCGGGAATCGCATGTTTCATAGTGAACAATATGGGTTTACTAGTGGTAGATCGACTAGCGATGAGAGTGTAGCGCTATTGAAACATATATTTGATGCTTGGAAAAGGTCCCGGAACGCTATTGGGGAATGCTATTCTGTGACTTCTCAAAGGCATTTGATTTTTTTTTATAATATCAATGACGGGATGAACAAGTCGTGCGCCTAATGGTAAGCTACACGCCAATCCATTACAGTTGCAGTGCCACGCAGCTCTTTAAATCGCTAAGATCTGAGGCGCACTGCCACTGCGCCCGTTACCCAGAGACATAAGTTGACAAGTCCCATGTGCCTGTAATTTCACCAGCACCTTTACCCTTCAAAACGGGAACACAGTAACGCTGACATTACTGCTTGGCGGCAGAAATAGATAGGGTATAAGGTTTCCCTGGACGAACTCTTTCACAAGGGGCTCTACTGCTACGAGTAATAGTAGTATTGTGGGGACCATTACTCTTGTTGGGAAGCTGGAATATTATGGAGTAAATGGCAAGGCGTTGGAACTTGTCTCGTCATATCTTAACGGTAGCATTCAGAAAGTAAACATAAATGGAGTGACGTCTTTGGGTTCTCTGGTAAAAATGGGCGTTCCGCAGGGCTCAATACTTGGACCTTTCTTATTTCTCAATTATATTAATGATCTGTCATTCTTTGTTAAGAACCTTTGCGAAATAGTATTGTATGCTAACGACATATCCTTGATTTCTAAAACAGGCAGACATGACGTTAACTATGACAGTATTAACGTTATCCTCTCAAAGATAATTTATTGGTTTAATGCTAACAATTTATTCCTCAATGCCAAGAAGACAAAGTGTACTAAATTTGAATTATCTAATTTAAATTCGACTAGTCCAATCATGGAAGTGAATGGAGAAATGATAGACCTTGTTAATAAAGCTGTCTTTTTGGGAGTGACTTTAGATAGGAAATTTCAATGGTTTCCACATATATCTTCCTTAGCCAGCAGATTAAGCACTGCTGCATGCGTAGTTCGTACAATATATGAGCTTACAGATGTTGCTACTGCTAGACTAGTTTTGTTTCTTCCATAGTATAATGTCCTACGGGATTCGATGTGGGGTTAAATCAGGTATTGCGATTTTAATCGGAATATCTGATATTTGTATGTTTTTCATTTTAATAAATGCCAGTTTGTACGCGGCTTGCAGTGCAAAGTGCAAGTAAAATAACATGTTTTTTCGTAAGTTTTTCAAGAGGAAGTTCTGTGTTGGGAAACCACGTTGAAACTAATGCGAGAACGACTTGGGGATTCCAAGTATTGCTATGCGTTGATGCACTGGGTTTCAAACTAAATACGTAATTAAGTAATCTTTTTATGCGGGCGTCAAAGGGATTTAGACTGTTATTATTGCAAAATTCCCACCAGAGCTTTAGGGACACATTATATTCTCTAAGTATATTTTAAGAAAGATAAGCTAAAGGTAAAGTCATCTCCTCTTGTGGGACTCCACGGGAGGCGAAGGGCGCGCTGATAATGGCAGAAAGGGTAAAGCTGGTGTGCAGTCGATGAGGCCGCAATAAGATTTAATAATGATTCGCTTGAATGAAATTGATGAAACTCAAATTACCACTTCGTGGCACCCGTTTTCAATCGATAGAAGACATAAAGGAGAATTCGCGGCGAGAACTGAACTCAATTCCGGAAGCAGCGATTAAAAAATGTTTTCATGAATGGATTATTCGTTGGCGCAAGTGTATCGTTTCTAAAGGATCATACTTTGAAGGTGATAAAATAAATTTGGATGAATAATAGACATTTTGTGTATTACTGATCTTTTCCCGGTACTTTCTTGACAGAGTAGTATATCACGTGGGAAACCAACAGGCTTTGCAGCAGGAGGAACCATGCCTGGGAAGACCAATATGGAGAAACAAGAGTAACATTTGCTTGGTCTTCAATAATTTTGCGTATGCATTTCAATAATAAAAAGAAGGGTGGGAATGCGTAGAAAAAAAATTAGTATGTCACTTATATGTAAAGGCATCTACGGCAAATGCATCCTGAAACCGAGAGACAAAATCAGCTGCTATACAACAAATATAATAAATACACCACGGACTTAAATCCTTGTTGTCTCGAATGTGTTATAACTTCTTTTTTGATTTTGGTAAACACTTTCGATGCTGTGGACAAGCCATATGCCAGAGCAGTAAATTCATAGGTTTCGATTTCATTCGAACCACAAGGTAAATACTGAAACCTATGGTACTTTCGATCTGCTTCGCAGATAGATGTCAGTGAATACACCTCTTTCAGGTCTTTTGGCCATGAAACCCCTGCGAGGTAAGGGTTTCATGGCCCCTTGAATTTTGAGGCAAGGCCGGATAGTCCTCTAATTTGTTAAAGGGCGCTGGGTTTTGAGTTTTTAATTCCACTCCATAGCCGTTCGCCATATAAATGTGGAAGCGTAACGCTTCATGCGAATCTTTGGAATATCCACAACATAGGGGTGGAAGCCAAGCCTACGCCTTGGACCCCGATGATGGAAAGGGGAAGGCGGAATTAAATCGTGAATTCCAACGCACACTTTCCGTGATATATCCTGTAAAATACCGATAAGCAGGCAACTTTACGGCGGTGTTCAAGGCTCTGCAGCTTCGCCTTTACTAATGCCGAATCATCTATAAGCCTCTTGTCACGCTGTCAATTTTTATTGTCGTCTGGCGATAAGCTAATGCCGGGTATTACAGACTGGTGTTGGTACCTGTTTACATAATGGTATTGCTGGCGAAGTTGCATATTGGTTTTGCAGGAGGCTGTCGCCTAAAACCATTAACGATCTTCTTTAGAACTGTATTAGATAGGTGATTGAGTTTTAACTACGGCGTGTTTCGTTAACACTTATTAATTGCACGTATGTGGGATTTCATTTGAAATAACTCGCAGTTGATTTCTTATCGCAGTTAACTCATGGTTAATCCAACTTAATTTTATTTTAAATATACTTTTCTTAGAATTATATAATTATTAAAATCGGCTCGTAGTTTTATTAATTTCATTACCGCGGTTAACTCACGATTAACCCTGACGTAAATTTACTTAAAATTAACTTTATTTATTAGCACATAGGTACAAATATTGTTCAAATTAAAATCCACTTGCAGTCGATTTCATTATTGTGGTTAACTCGCAGTTAACCTCGACGTAATTTTATTTATAAACTATACTTTGTTAATTAGCACGTAAATACTAATACTATTCACATTAAAATCGACTCGCAGTCGCTTTCGTTATCGTGGTTAACTCGCGGTTAACCCCGACGTAGTTTAATTTAAAAAAAACATACGTTACTTTAATTAGTACTACGTGCTAATGCACGTAGGTACTAATACTGTTCAAATTAAAATAGACTCGTAGTCGATTTCATTATCGTGTTTGACTCGCGGTTAACCCCGAGGCAGTTTTAGTATAAATCATGTAAAATGCACATATTAGTATATCTGTTCGGTATTTCATCCACTCATGTTCGATTTAAACAAACTTTAAATAAACTAGTATCACTTGTCACTTGACAACTAACATAGTATTATCTCAAAAATTGTGTTATGCTACATTTTATTTCAAAATTGCGTTATATTAATAAACTTAACTACCTCCGTGGCCGAACGGTTACCATGCCGGACTGCCACGCAGAGGTCCCAGGTTCGATTCCCGGGCCGAGAGAAATATTTGTATGACCTCTCGTGAGTTTGGGTGTAATTTGTGGTTGTCTATGTGTGTGTCCATGGCACCCGCGACACAGGGTTTCCCTAGTGCGGGGCTATGTTGAGTGTGTGTTGAGTGTGTGCGTTATTATTAATAATTTATCTCCAAAATTTCGCTTTATTGATGTGTCATTCATATACGATTTTATTTCAAAGTGGCAAGACAACAATGTCGTTTTGAAACTAAACAGGCAATATTAATATGACTTAAAGCCATTTTGAGATAGTACTATGTTGGTTGTCATGTGCGATATGCACTTTAGTGCAAAATAAATTTTCTATTTTCTGTTCTATATTAGGGTTAATTAAAAATATATGTAACTTATTCTTAAATTTGGTTTCCTTACATGTTTCGATATTTGTTACAGATATTGGAGATAACCAGGTGCAACGGGAAGGTTGGTATGACATCAATATTTATTGTGCGATTGAAAATATAACACCAGCAATATTTTCTATTCAATATTTCCGGTGTACAACACATATTTACTTATTTCGTTGCAGAAAAATTTGTTATGTCACGTCGTATGCTTCGAAGTTGTGAATAGGCGGACTACCGACATAGGTAGGAGCGCACTAATATTGATCTGAACTTTCTGATTGTAGAGTTACTAGCAACTGTGTAATGACATGCTTTGTAGCATAGGAAGCTATGCGTTGAAACGAACATGAAAAATTGAATATACAGTCAATGTCTTAAGGTGCCTGATCCCTAACCGTCTATATATGGTTCTGAGTAGATCAGTGTAAAGAAAGGTGTTAAACAAATTTAACCTTTAACCTGTGAGTCGAAAAGTCAGTTTTTATTTTCTTATTGCATCATTAGTGAATGATGCTTTAAGAAATTTTCTATGCCAATTTGTTCTTCAATTACACTATAGAAACATGAATTTCAACCAAAAAGCTAGAATTTCCGTACTGTTTTCTGTTGAATGCGTAAGAAGGCACTCAGAACTAAAAGGTCGGCTAGAAGATTAGGTATCTTAGGGCAAAAACCGATTATTACTAAATACTTCTTAAAGTCTTTGTCAATTATATTCGATAATCATTTTGCAGACGGTAAAAACACTACATATGTAATATGCAACGTTTCACACGAATGGTTAAAGCTTTAAGTGAAAATTATTGAAAATAATGGTTATTAAAATTAAGCGAGAGGTTTTATCCAATGGTGAGGTAATGAATGATCGAATAGCAAATGGTATGCCCAAGAAACCTGAACTTTATGAATTTCATCAAACAAGTGGTTTCTTTTCCATTAGATTCGCTTTGTGTTACTCTCAACATTGCTTATTTGATTTGAATTTGTGATTTATTGACCTTTTATTTAAGAGAAAATTCCGAATTTATTTTCGAAACTTTTTAGGATGTTTGCATTCTATTAATTCTGTGGCTTGGTATATGAAGTGCGTAAGTAATATGGCCTTAGGAACTCGTTGTTGCAACGTTCTGTATTTAAATATGTTACGTGCTGTCGACAAACTTTATCAAGTTTAAAAATTCAAAATTTTTTCTGGAATGGAAGTTATAAAGAGCAAATTAAAATAGTTGAAATCTTACAAAAAACCTTTTCCTTTATGTATATGTGTAAGAACAACATTTAACATATTGGAATTAGAAATGCATTAAAACTACTGATCACTAACAATAGAGCAACACATGCGGAACATGAAGTAGCATTTCTATAGCACAATACGCCGCCTAGACAAAGGGGAGCCTGCATTGTGCGGGGTCGAGCGAGAGATCAAATCTACCGTAAATTGATTTACCTCCTATCGTGAACACGGCCATTCTTAAAGAAACCATGTATAAGGTCTCGTTGCACTTCTATCACTTATAGTCAGCGTAGGTATACTCATAGAAATATCCACTTTGTGTAAGGATACAAAGTAGATATTTCTGGGGTCATCACAAATAGTAAAGAGTAACTTTCGCCGCGGTAAACTTTGCCAATATTGGTTCATAGTTTACACATTATGAATATTTCTTGCACGTACGTGTGGTGTTGGATGTACAGTGTTTGTCAGGGGTCAAGAAATGATGGTAGTCGCGTACGCTATCTCGAGATACGAGTAGCAGGCACAATGTTGACAGAGGCTTAAGATGTTGTGTGTCGCTGGCGGAGGTTCTGCGACAACCCAGATGGAGAGAGGTAAACAGTTAAACAGGATCAATTAAGCCAACACTACCCACGTATCTGTTTTGACGACCAATAAATTCGTTAGCAACAGAGCAAATTGCTATTGTGTAAGAAAATTGAGTTATAACAACCACTTTACACAATTGGAATTCTATTGTGGGCTTATTGAAGTGCCTCGAAATAACGGTCAATAATAACAGTTTGGCTATTTTCTTTTTGTATGGAATAATTGGGTTTTTAAAGTGCCTGAATAATTTCTTTTATTTGAAATAGGTACTTTATTCTTTAATTCTGGGACATACTAGGACTAAATGTTAAAATAAAACTTAAGTGACAAGAATTGCCATGATGGGTAGGCTGAATGTCTCAAAACAGAAGGAGTTTGGCTGTTCATCGGGGCGTGCTGGTCCCAACCCTAATGTATGGTAGTAAGTTTCGAGTGTGGTAGAAAAACATGAAAGTAGGGTGAATGCTGTAGAATGTGCGGTATTAGTAGACAGAATGCCGAGCAATATAGTGAGAGAGCGTTGTGGTATAAAAGATGATGCAGCGACCAAGATAGAGAGGTGATGTTTCGATATCAGGGTCATGTAAAAAGAATTAATGTTGCTAGATTGACGGCACAAATTTATAGAGCGAATATGGATGTTATATGTTAGATTTCGGCGTACACATCTCAATCAGATTGGGGATATCCTTAAACAAATCCGGGTTAAAAGTATCAAGAATAAACGGGTATGCATGAAGAGATTGAAATGGAGGCAAAGGAGGTTTGTCAAGAGTTTAGCAGGTGGAGGTTCATAAGCTCTGCCTATTGCCTGGTGGGTGCTGTACTTGCATCGAGGGCAGCTCATCCGAGGCACTAGTTTTTGGAGAACCGAATGAAGTCCGTGATAACGTCTATGACATCCCACAAGGCGAAGGAGCTTTGTCAGGGGCGTAGCAGATGGATGTCCATAGTCACTGCCTACCCGACAGGCGCGGTGATATGATATTATGTATGTATGTAGTGACAAGGACATCGAATTGAAGACATGACCCGTGACCTATGTCCTTAAACAATAGCCAGCAAAGGCAAACACTGCAGTTAGTTTGTATAGGATCTTGTAAAGTAACGCTTTCGTAAGTTTGGGAAAATATCAATGTTTCAGTGACATATACATACATAATAAAATACTGATTAAATTTAAATTCAATTCAAATCATCTTTATTTCATAGGTAAGCAAATTACACTGGAAATTGTCATATTAATTAAACTCCATTGCTCATTCGTAAGGCAGAGTTCCCTGAGAGGAATGTGCAAGAAACTCTAGGGTTTGCTTTTTTAAATATTTATTTGAAAACATTTTAGCATTTACAATATTTATATCAAACATCTCAGATTGAGGCTACCTGCATGAGCTAAACGGGTCACACATCCCAATACCCAGAAGCTGTATAATACCTTTAATATAAAGTTTTTGTTTCACTATAGTTTTAAACCTCGTAAATGGCAAATTTTTAATATCAACCGGAACTTTATCACAGAGCTTATACGTTATTGCCCTTTAAATGAATTTCTGACTTTGTGAAGACAAATGACAAGAATAGCTAGTTTTTTTATAATTCCTCCGTTTTTAAAATTTTCCGTGGGTCGTAAACCTTCTTCGATGTGCAGATTTCATTACAATGTTTTACTTCACTGAAAAGCACATGGTGCATTTCAAATTAAATTTCGCACATCAATTCCAGAAAAATCAGAGAAACGAGACCGGATTTGATCCCGCGTCCTCTGTTCGAAAGGCGGTAGGACAAATCATTAGGCCACCGCGGCTCTTTAAATTGCGAAATTTGTTCAAATTACGAAATTGAAACTAAATTTATAATGATTCTTTAGACAAAATTTAAACAAGATTAAAGGTTTTAGTGTGGTGTAGTTTAGTGTTATGAAAAATATTTCACAGAAACGTAGCCTGGATATTGCTACTTCTTCTAGTAGCAGTATGCTCCTTGTAAAAGAGTTCGACCAGGGAAGTGCTGCTAACAGACCCAATTTCACCGCCAAGCATTAATCTGAGCATTGATTAGGTTCGGTTTTGAAGGATAAAGGTTCTGGTGAAAGAGGCCCTTGGGACTTGTTAGCTCTACGTATCAGTGTGACGGGTGCTCTGGGAGTGCCCATCAGGTCTTTGCGGTTTAAAGCTCTGAGTGGCACTGCAACTGCTGTAGACAGGCGTGTCGCTTACCACCAGGTGCACTACTTATTCGTCCCGTCACTTGGTATCGACCATAAAAAGAAAAACAAAAACATTAGGAGCATGGGACTGTTGTTAACTCTGTGTATTAGCGTGACGGGTGCACTGGCAGTGGCCCTCTGTAATCGTTGCCAATCAATATTTAGACAATAAATTTGAAAATAATATTGTTTCCATTGCGTCTGAGTAACTGTTTTAAGATTGCTAAATTTGACATATATAGAACAATATTACTTTAGTGTCAAAGTGGCATCATAGCACGAATTGAGTGAATGAATAGTCACCTGCCAATAAAACGTCATAGTTTAACATTATAATAAACTTACTTTAAGCGCGTCATGGTACAAAAAGTCACTGTAAGAGTTAAATAATATTATTATAAGAGGTTGTGGTAAGCCTTCACGTCTTTCCGATTTAAAGCTCTGAGTGGCATTGCAACTGCTTTGGACAGGTGTGCCGCAAATAAAAACATTAGGAACATGGGACTTGTTAACGCTATGTATCAGTGTGATGAGTGCACTGGCAGTGCCCCTCAGATCTTTGCGATTTAAAGCTCTGAGTGGCACTGCAATTGTTAAGTAGGCATGCTGCTTACGGATCGTTTGTCCAGTCACTTGATGTCATAAAAAAACCTAATTGGCAAGGTAAATCAATTTATAAATTTGTTTTATATACTTCTGTAAATCCTTCCCTGTAATCTATTGAGTTAATATCGTTCTCCTTAACCTATATTTTGAAATGCTTTCAATTTCTTCTCAAGGACATAGGGGGGGTTTAGAATAACATTTTGAAAACGTAGAAAAGTTTTCGAACGAAATTAAACGCCTGTCCTTAATACCGAAACAACCGTTCAATTTGCCATAAGTATTTTTTCACAATGATATAATTGCGAACACGAACAACGGGACGAACGGGAAGAAAGAACAAATCAATAATTTCCATTTCGTTTAATTAATGAGATATTGAACCTCTTTGTGTAGTTCCATTCGGGGATGGGCGCTTTGTTTCCTAAATTAATTATTT